TCAAAAGGCTGAAGTTAAGGAAGGAGGTAGTGGGGAATGTAATGCTTTGTTTATGTGACCACCTGACGTTTGGCAGTCACTTTAGAATTTATGTGGACCCTGTACACTTAAGCTGGCCTTCGGGCCACGCTCAGACCCCATTTCTCCTGTTTTTTTCGGAGTACATGTATTCAACCTCACTTATGCCTTCTACTACCTCATTGGAAGCTTCAGGACGCTACAGGGAAGAAGACGTTACACTTCCATCAGAAAGTTACCGAGACAGTATAGGGTCAGTACCTATTATTTCCAACACGCTTAAGAATGACCCCACTGATATTATTCTGATAATAAGTTGCCTGGTGGACCTAATATTTCTCACAAAATGACGCTTGATCGTAGTTTTAAGGTGGGCAAGAGTATTTGATACCAATTTCTACTCTAAATATTAGCAGAGTTGAAGAACTAAAAACTATATTTTGCGGTTCAGTGCCTGAAACATACAACCGTAATTATAGAAGGTAGCCTTTTAATCTTATTCTTAAAACTTTTTTAAAACTTGTTTGACTCTTCTGAACTTTACGCGGGTTCTCTGCTCTCTCAAAATCTGCTCTTGGACCTTCCTACTTTCGTGTGATGGCAGACCTCAAAAATTGTGAGACCGGCACCCGTCAAAGAAACCTCCTTATGAGGAGTAACACTCACTCGGATCTCCTGAAATTCAAAGGAGCTAAGCAGGAATTGCAGAAGATTTTCTCTGAAATAGAGGCTTATGTAACCGACTGTAAACAGTTTTTCAAAGAAAAGCTATCAGAGGAGGCTGGGAAACGTCTCTCTCCTGCCCTTGAACAATCCTCCAGAACTGACTTGGAGCCATATTTTGAACGAGTGAAACAAATTCAGTCTATCATTTCGCGTAATCAAATGAAGTGCGCCTTTTTTGGACGGTATGTTTACGTAACCAGCATCCTATTGTTAAACGAGTTGATTTGAGCGTGTTGGGTGAACATATTCTACATATCTTGCCCTTCATGCTTTTTATGTAGTGTCGCCCCCTTAGTTGGTTGTTTTTCTTCCCTTTTGAATCGGTTGCCTCTTGCTACTTACCGTTGATTAAGTCTTCTCACCACTTCTAGGTAATTTTTTTTTGAATCAACTTAGAACATCAAATGGTAAAAGCACGGTCATAAACGCAATGCTTGGATCGCGAATCCTGCCTTCCGGCATCGGACACACAACGAGCTGTTTTGTCCAAGTTCAAGGCACTAATCAAAGTCAAGGATTTTTACAGCAAGAATCCATTTCGTGCTCCGAGTCAGGCGTGGAGACTCAAACTTTATCAGAAGTATGTGCGCAATTCTGTACTCGTTTTTACTGCTTTACTCCAGGAGGACCCAGGCCCTGTTCTTGCATTCTAGCCTCAACCGATAGAATCGGTCAGTCATTTGGCTCATTCGTTGAGCTCGGCCAAGATGGCCAGTGATGCGCTCATATACCTCTTTTGGCCGAGCTCCAGCTGCCATCTGCTGAGAGAGGACGTGGTCCTATTAGACAGCCCTGGAGTGAATGTAGATCCTGATATGGACGCGTGGATCGATAGGCACTGTCTCGACGCTGACGTTTTCATCCTCGTTGCTAATGCCGAATCAACTCTAATGCAAGCTGTAGGTTGCAAGCCGTTTGGCGTATGAGTGATAGTTAACTGCTACTGCTGTCACACTCTGCATCACACTCAATTATTGTGTAAAAATTATGGACGTTTGAACTCGAAATTGTTGATTCGACTTCACATGGTTGCGTGTAAGTGCTGATACCATCACCATTTCGTCCAATATGTACATGAACTGAAGATTCCTTTGCACATTTGCTTACTTCATTCGGATTGTTGCTGGTAAAAAACATTTGTTCTACATTCATTCCTTGAATACTTTTAATGAAATATCGACAGCGATCATGCTTATGCACACCGGATCATATCACAACTGAAGTGCAATTTATTGAGCCTAATCTACTTTATCCGAAATCACGTTGTGCCTTAATCTTCTCATTTGGCTTCTGCATTTAATAATCCTTTTGAAAATTATTTTCAATACGATTTATAACCATGTGTAGTGATTGGCAGGTCTAAATTGTCACTTGTTACGTTCTTCATCGCGGGCGCATTGAAATTTGATTGGATTAAAAGGCTAGTGGAAATTTTCATATTTTTGATGGAATTTGGCTTCAGGATTATGCCATTGTAATTAGTTCATCCTGTCCTATATTTGATTGTCTATTAAGCGCAGGCTCTTTTCTACGTAGGAAAAGGACTTCTTCTACCGTGTCAGTAGCAGAATCTCAAAGCCAAACATTTTCATCCTAAACAATCGATGGGACGCCTCCGCTGGTGAAGCCGAATTAGCCGACCAGGTGCCTCTTTTTTCCCATTTTTCACTGGTTATATTTTTGAATGCTAAGATTCCCATTCCATTTTCTGTCCTATACGCATCGTTTTCTTTTAAAGCACATTTCTCTCGGCAAAATAAATTTACGCTCTTATGTTTGTACGATCCGCGTCTGGCACTTTTTCGTCTGGTTTTGATTAAATGCAGTTGGCTTACAATTAAGGTAACCATGTAGCTACTACCGCGATTATGTCTCAATGAATAGTTTTGAGTGTTTGTCTCTGGCAATTTCATCAGTTCTTGTCCACTCCTCGAATGCCTGTCACCTATCGTGATCCGACGATACCT